GAACCTAATTTATCGTTTTAAAGACAAACACTCATTGGATTTCATAGTTGGCAAAACTTCTTGTTTAAAGTAGAATTAATATTTTTCTCTTTAATATATTCTCTTACTTGGATATGTAATCTCTCAAATAATAATGATACATATTACTTTACTGATTGTTATTCTTATACATATTCTGATTTACAAGTAAAATATTTCTTAGGATTATCTGAGTGAAATTCAAAATGTTCGTTTTAAAAGTCAATATTGTAAACTTATCGAACATTACCCTACATTAATTATTTTTTACACAAAATCAACATCATCAATAAGGGACATAGGTCTCTTAGAGATATTTCGTACTATCAAGACTTGATCGACTTGTAATCAAAATGAATATTTCAAAAAATATTTTATGTAAAAAGTATATTAATTATTTTTGATATAATGCTAAAGAGTTTTGATTTAACTGTTGTACATATCAAGTAGGTATTATTATTAAATCTTAAATAATATACATTTATCTCATTCTATAGAAGTAAGATAATATTTCTGTTTTACTTCATTTCTTCGTATGACTATTGTCTAGTTTTGATTACTTCTATGATTTTATTAAATATTATTTAATTAATTATTTTATCAGAATAGGCAACAGAGTAAATAATATAAATCGATTCTACAGTGTGAAAGTTTTGAATATTAGTTGTTAAAGTTAAATTGAAAAACAATTATTTTATTTTAAGTAAATAAACACAGTGAACTATGTCGTATTTAATAGTTTAAAACAATATTTAACGGAAATTTACTATTGCACTCAAGATCTAACTAATGTATAATCAATCGTACAATCGTATGAACATTATTATCCAATAAAATTTCGACCGTTATTCTAGAATAAATAATTCAAAATTAAATAGAAAAATAATTTTAGTCAATTAGACGCATTTGTTTGCCAAAATTTGAGATTTAATTACATGGTAAACTGTTTGTATTGATAGGATAATCATATTTGTAATTCTTGTACTAAAATAAATCAACAATAATAATAATATTCTCATTTAATTAATTATAAACTATTTTACTTGGACGAATATAATCAGAGAGACATAACGTATCCCATTCAATTTTATGATTTAACACAAGTATACACATAAGTCGAATGAAATTGGCATCATATGGAGCAGGATGTAAATTTTCCACTATGTCTTCATCGAGTTGATGGAATATCTCATTATCTGATTTATTTGTCGTCGATGACGATGATATATTTATTAATCGTAACAACAATCTAAACAAAATTCATATTCTAAACATTAAAATTATAGTCTAAAGAAATTTACTGAAAAGTTCCATCAGATTCTATGGATAATGAATCTAGATTTAATTGAATTGGATTTACAGCTTCCGTATTTTTGTTTTTGTCAGCAGGCAGAAACTGTATATCTCTACATAGATACCAATTTCGTTTGTTATTGACTTTTTCTTCTCGTACAACGGCGACCATTAAATCAATGGGTTCCAACAATTTTTGATACATAAAAATGTAAGACTTTGGAATCTATTAATAAATCAATTGATCATCAAACAATATTTTTCACAAGGCTTATATAAGTGTTTCTAGATTTATATAATCTCTTAACATTGGAATCTCAAAGGTTTCAGCTCAAATGTTACAAAATAATCAGAATATTTCTGTTTGAATCAGAATTCTTTCCTACTAATCAATTGTTTTCTACCGAAAGCTACTGAATTATCAACTATCGATCATGCTAAATCGGAATATGATCGTCAAAAATCCTCTTATATCTGCATGTACTAGTTTTCTAGACTAATAAATATAGTATCTTCTTAATAGTGGAAAACATTATGTGAATACCGACTATGCAGTTTATCCTGATTTTTGAAAGATTTGATCAATGGTGATCTAATTAATTTTGAATTCAAAAGTTTATCGGTTGGACTATAGAATGACAAGAAATGCGAAAAAAAACAAACAAAATCTTCATCGTTAATACTTACTTTTAGCCGAGGTAGAATACATTTTCCTTTATCTGCTTTTGTCTTGATTCCTTGAATTCGCATGATATACGACAACAAACTTTTATCTATCAACTTATCAAAGGCATCTTTATCGTGTTGTGTTTTTTGATAAGGATGAACATCATGTGCAAATTCTAATGAAGTTGATAACTTCATTGACGCTGTTGCTTGTGCAGTTTGACAACGAACATTTGTGATAAGATCATCAGAATTGTTTTTACAAGTACTTGTACATGGTGTTATTACTGGGATCGCGTTGACACTTACAGATTCATTTACAACAGTGTTTACGATGTCTTGAACAGTGGCTTGTGTTACAATATTCGTATTTTCAGTGAAATGTAATTCATTGTCATTTGATGGAAATGATGTTCCCAAAGTTCTGTGTGTAATTGATGTGTCAGAATCACATATATGTTTGTTGATATCATCATTTGATGAAAGTAAATTTCTTGGATTAACATCAGTTAACGTTTGAACATGATCGAACATATAGTCGAGCTCATCGGATTGGCACACATCTGCAATTTCTATTATAAAAATGAAAAAGTATTCCTTTGTGGAATTTACATATATTTTCAAAGAAAATAGTAAATGTAAGTTTTGAGTTGAAGTTTTTCGGCTCTTCACCCCATTTCAGACAGCTTCCTATTACAGACCATAGCAACGACTCCCTCCCCAATTACAGACACTTCTCATTACTAGGGTTTTCGATTGTTTCTAAGAGTGAGAAAGGACTAAAAATTTGGTAGAAAGTCAATTTTTTTTGCAACTTTTAGTTCATCGAGAAATCTTTGAAGAGTAATAAAAAAGATCATGCTCTTCAACAAGCAAAGGCATTTCCAACAAATTTAAACTTTCAAAAAAAAATAAAGACAGTTTAACATGCAGGCATTTCAAACTTCAAGTAAAATTTGTTTTTTTGGCTTTTTTTTTTACACCATTTGATAGAACATGAGCTGCTGCTCGCGAAGAAATATTTTACTTGAAATTCGCATTTCCGGCACCTTATATATATGTATGACATATTTATGGTTCACTATACCGATAGCGAATGACTTCGTTAAAATATAAATTATTTTGAATAAAATAAGTTCAATTCACTTTTACACGTCGTATATTTGATACCGATGGAATCACAACTCGACAATGAGCAATACAGAAAACTAATATTCACCAAAACTTTTAGGAAAAAAGAGTGCATATAAGATTTCTGGCAAAGAAAAATACTCTGAAGTTGATTTTCTGCAAGAATTTTGCAGAAAATATCTTCTTGATGCTCACTATCTATCTATCTCTAACCAGAAAGAGGAATAATATGACTCAACTGTTCGTATTGCTACTACTAATCAATAAGTATGTCTGCATCGTGGAGAAGAAATTTTGAGAAATTCATTCTCTTAAATTATATTTATATATAGGTTGTACGAAAGCGAGAAAAAAATCTTTTTCATCAGATACACAGCGGAAAAAAATTTGGCAAAAAAGGATCCAAATTTACGGAGGGGAAAGCCTCTTCCCCCTAATCAGCAAGCCTACCCATTACAGACCTTAGCGACTTTCTCAAAAAAAAAAATTCTATTTGAAATGCAAAAATAAAATACTTATAGTCTATGAGAGATTTTACTTTATATATTTTGTATGAGTTCCATATTTCAGCCCTAAAGGAACTGTGCTAATAAGCTTTATTAAGATCTTCTCTTATTTCTTATAAGAATCTTACCTTTCGTTGATACTGAAGTGATCAATTCTGTAGGATATGAGCATTCGTTGTGGTGATGAAAAATCATATTGGACTCTTCTGATGTTGTATTTTCGTTATCAATGGTGTTCCATTTGCATAATAAAGCTCGTGAACAGTCGTTCAATTTTGTTTTCTTCTTGTATCGACCAAAATCATAAGAACCTTAAATTATAAGTAATAATTTAAACTTTTTTGCAGTTAATTATTACATAGGTCTCATATTTTAACCTGCTAAATTTATAATTAACTGTTATAGAGATTTTTAATCGGTTTTTGAAACTGATATTTTTTTCTACAACTAGATATGCCTATCTATTATGTGATTATAATAATTAAATATTTTCTGCATTTTATTTCTTTAATATTGTTTAGATTGTAATTCTACATATTTTAACTTACTTGATGAAAAATTGTTCCGTGAAATATCACCTCTGAACTCGCTTATAGATGTAAGAGGTAGTTGTCCGTGTAATTCTTCTAAATATTCATTATTTAACACAAACATATTCTTGAGACATTTATCGTAGACTTGAATTTTAAAAGTATCTGGCCTAATAACAAAGAATTCTCCAACTTTCTGTTTGATAAAATCCAAAGACATATGGGAGTTAAAAGTAAATGGATGAAACTTGTGATTGTATCGAAGATGAAGGTTATACCAAGCCATATATTGAATAAAATAATTTTTCTTGTATATATTATATTCAATAAGTGTAGAACTGTAGTATGAATGCTTTTTTTTTGATCAGCACTTTATTCTAAACGATATATAAGATGATAAATGAATTGGAATATTTCAATCTATTTTCATGGAGATGAAATCACTGTATTTTCTGTCGTTTTGTGCTGTTGTACTTTTTAGTTGGTGCAAGAATAAATGGAAAAGAGAAAAAAACATTGGCTTGAATATTCCTACGAGTAGTTTTTTTTTTGTTCTTCTTTTTCTCGTTCTCGTTTGCATTACACGATAAAAAATAAAGGAGAAAGATAAAAACAAGACCTGGAGTAACCTTGTTCTTTTACTTTACAGACGACATTGACTCACCTTTGCTTATTTCTTTCTTGCTTATTTCACAGGAAAAATAAAATGATGCACCAGAAAAAAATCGTTTGATTGTTCCAACGCTTGACTATGATAAGATGAAATTTTCCACCGGCATGGTTTCGAATTGTATGAGAGAAATTCAGATTTACTTTTTTTCATATTAAACAATCAAAAAAGTAAAGTAGTAGCACCATGCAAGTTGATACAATATTAAATTTTTTCGATTGTCATCATAAGTTTATATGTCCTTATAAAACATCGAAACTTACTGGCATGACAAAAAAGAAAGACATCGAAGATTTTATCTTAAAAAATTATGAATGTTTTAAGTCTCCAATTGATATTCGGATTCTTGATCAACATGCTGGCGATGTCACTTTGGATGATAATTATATAGACGACTACAAACCTTTCATTCCAAATGCAACCGTGACAACTAGTGCTGAACCAACCAATTCAGCAAAAACAACATTAACATTGCAAATTATTTTATTACGTAAGTCAATTGCTGCCTTTGTTCTCTATATTTATGAATCTTTCTGTGTATAGATTATGCTTCTAATTCAACTATCGAACAAGAACCTGTGAATATTGTAGCAGGTTTGTATACATTCAAATATTTGTGTGTGTTAACCAATTATTTCGTTTTAAATATTTGGAAACAGGTACCCCGCAAAATGAAGATACTCAACAAATTGATCAGGTTGTGTCAACTTCAACATCACAAACACATTGTATTGTTTCTTTCCATAACGCTTCAAAAATGGCTTTTATTGATGGTTTCAATGTCAACAATGAACAAAGAGATCAATACATTTCTGATGCAATAAATGTGGATACAGGAGCTACCGTTGGTAGCCTTAGTATGATTCAAGCTCCAAAAACTTCAAAACAAAAATATGGATGTAGATTGCCTCGATTTCGAGTAAGCATATTTAAAAATATTACACATCTATGTTTTTTTTTTATTGATAGATTGGAGATGATGAACTTAAAAACGGCAATAATCACGTCTTGACTTTGCTTGTTTACATTGTATTGGATGTATATCAATCTGGAAAACACTGGCTCTGTTATCATCCAGGACGAGCTTTTGTCGAAAAAGATAATCTAAGACAATTGTTGAAATGGTATAAAATACCTATTGAAACTAAGAAATGGACGAGCGACAAAGGGGAGGAGTAAGTCAAATTCATTATTTTGAACTTGAATGTTTTGCTTATATCATTTATAGACTTAAATTAATAATTGTTGCAATTAAAGAAGCAAAAAACCACTCTAGTGCACCTCTAAATATTTTATGTGAATTCGCAGATACAGATGTTAATGAAAGAAATTTATTACATTATAGAAAATCTCGTCTAGCTCTTGTTCTTCAAAAAGATGGTGTTACTCAATGGAAAACTTTAGTTCTATCCAATGAAATATTTTTCACAAGTAAGAATAAATGAATTTATTATAGATAGAGAAGACCTTTTCGAATATTTAAAAGGACGTCACAAATCTGATGTGGTCAATATTTTGGATGTTCCAAGCAATATAGCATCTAGATCAGCGGAAGAAAAACGATCAAAGAAACGCCGTATACTATCTTTTTTTTTTATCTCTTGATTATAACAGAAAGTGTATTTTAGAAAATACGTCAGATCAATGCTCTAAACGAACAAAAAAAACAAAAGGACAAAACTATTTAACAACGACAAATCTATCTACAAACATGAATGATTCTTATATGCATCGTAATCAGAATCATTCGATATATAATAACACTAGTCAAATTATAGATAGTACATCTCAAACAATATTAAATGCTTCACCATCCAGTTTACAACTTCTTGTAGTAGGTTATAGAAAATATTCTTACTGTTCTTACGGAAAAAAACTTTCTCGCACACATAGAGTAATTTTTTTAACACTTTTAGTATCAATTTGAAAAATTAACTTTTTATTTCTTTCAATTAATATAATCTGATATTATATGATTGTTTTATTGTATTATATAGGATTCATCTCAAATCAACAGCTCACTTGGAAACTCAAATAATATGCATAATAATCATCTTAATGATTTAAATGTTCTTGATCAAATGGATGCGAACAGCATCATACTAAATATTGATCCTTCACTCTATGATGCTGCTAGTTCTTTGTTCGCTGATATTGCTGGTTATGATACTAACTGTCCGGTCTGTGGTACTCCTGGTTATGATATTATTTGTTCGCGCTGTGGTTCGTCTCAAGACGATGCTCATTGACAAAAATGGATAAAAACTCAATTTATGAAAACGACTAAAACATTCTTGAAGGCATTTCAGTTCATTTTCCTCAAAGTGCTTCTACTTTATTAGTATTAAAAATGATTGCAATGGTGATAAAGTCTACAGGAAATGTTAGAAACTTTTTTTTTTAAGAATTTGTTTCTTTTTGTCAGTGTTTTGTTATCTTGTGATATTTTATTCTTGCTGAATAAATTTTAAAAAAAAGCACGGAATAAATATTTTTTTTGTTTTTTTACTAATCATCAAGGACTAAAGGGAAACGGCGGATTTTTAGGATTCCGAATCCCTAAAAATCCAGCGAAAGTCCTGGGAGTACAATGGGAATCCTGGGAGTACGATGGGAATCCAGAGAATCCCGGGAGTACGAAATCTGCCGTTTCACCCTAGGCACGAACTCTTTGGAGATTATGCTAATCCAATCGTCCTCAACATATGAACATGAAATGAAGATAAACGGAGCAGATTATTTGGGGAATGTTTCCTCGTCTATAAAAAGCAAAAAGATAAGTCTATAGAACAATATTTATTTCATTCTGCAAGGGCTGGTTTCCCACATGTACATTTCTGAAGAAAATGTCCAGCCAAACAAACATTTTCATATTGATATCCACATAGGCGACTCGGACTTGGCATTTGTTTACGTTCCACTAATTTTTGACGAGCTACTTCAAGTGCTGATTCATTATTCTGTAAGCCAAAATAAGAGGATATCATTATTATAGTTGAATGAGTCTAGTATTTACCTTATAGCGGTTGTATAGTTGTATTGATGCATTTGCTTTCATAGTTGAATTGTAACAGGAAGTTGACGATAGCCTAATGCCTAATAAAGTCAATGATGTGTGAGCTAACGAAAAATAACTATAACAGCTAACAGATGAGAAAGTGATGAAAAAAACACATGATAGTTAACTCTTACATTGTCTTTCGAGATCGAGTATTGACCACTTTGAACATTTCACACAGATCGATTAACCGGGAATAATGAACTCCTTGTTCTAATTGTAACCATTTTGTGATTCTACTGGAGTTGTACGTAATCAAAACAACATTGGGTGAAAGGAATGAATACACCTAGAAGTAAAACAAGGATGGCACTTTATCTTTACTTTACCAAGTAAAGTAAAGTGAACTAGCTTTACTTTATCCAATAAAATAAAGATAAAATACCATCCCTATTGTGAACTTTGCTGACATACCTTTTTTAAAACCGTATCGAACGTTTGCCCATGATCTAGAGCACCACTTTTCAATCCAGTTAACAGTGTCAAATGACTAACGACTGACACGGATGGTTTTATCGTTTGTTCGAACAACACAATACCGTCTTCATTTACAATGCTGACGCATGCCACACAGCGATCTTCATGAGTGTATCCAGTAGCCACTAATTCAATATCAATTGATAGTAATATTTCGTCACTAACTGTGGCCATAATAAGATTTGCTTAGTAGCAGCAGTCAATTCAACGTGTTAATATTCAAATTTCTCGTTTTTCAGTGCAAGTGTTGAAATTGCAATGATTTGTTAAGTAAATAGTCGAAATGTAGAGGTTTTTTGAGTGAATCATCGTTTTATCATCAGAAAGAAATGTAATATCATGAATCATATATGTATATAGAAAAGCTATTGGAACGATTTATATCATTTTTTTGTTCTTCATCAGTTACTTTTGCTAATCACGAACAGTTAAACTCGTGAATTTGTATTTTCAAATGTGTACAAAAAAACTGCTATACAATAACTTTTTTCCATGTCAATGATATATTTCTTCCCCTTCGACTTTAGTACATTTTGTTGTTTTCTGTACTTCAAAATTGTTTAGAAGACATGCAGGATCGATAACAAGTAGGCATTCGAAAACATTCCTTGTATGAGAGAATCATACGTGATCTGATATGCGAAGAAAGTAAAAAATTACAAGATATTCTCTTGAAACAAGAGAACGACAACAATTGAGATGTAATGCATATTAAATTATGTCTATATCGTACGCTCAACTATTTCATCGGAATTCACTAGCACTGAAAGATACCGAACACGATTCGGACAGAAATTGAAATAGCTTTCTTCAAGCGGACTGTAATAGTCTCACGTGAAAAAGATAAGATAAAGTGTGGTGTGAGATACGTTCTCGTTTCATGAGAATAGAAACTTTAAGAATGAGAACCTTGGTATTCCTGACTGGTAACTTTCGTTATACTATTGTCAAATATGAATTTACACAGTTCAAAAATGAAAATTTTACATCTGTTATCACTTACAAGTTAATTATTATTCGAAGATGAGGACGAATCGATGCAACCAAAAAAAAGAATAATACACGGAACCTTCACGTAATCGTATTCGTGTCATTGCTTGTTTTTGAGAAAACATTTGAATACATGACTGGATCTATAACAAGTGGTCTGAAGTGAATTAATCTTGTGATGTGAGATGAGCTTGTGGATCTATTTGTTCATATCATCTCCTCACACTATCAAAATAGGCCTTTTTTTTAGTTTAAGAATTGGACATGAGATAATGTTTTCACGTCCAAAAATTGGTGATTGATATTCATGGCAACCTGTAGAATCATTGATACATCGATACGAAATTAATCAAATGCATAATATAATGAATAATACAAATTATTTGATTGCCTCTTATCCGCAGTTACATAACACATGATGAACCATTGATATTGCATCCATAATTGGTTTCGAATAATGAATAAAAGTTGATCACAAAGGAGGCACTTCAACTGATGAGCTTTTCGACCTGAATTGCATACAAACTATCCATAGTTTCTACAATATACATAGGAACCGGGAGAAACATTTGGAAACACAACTGATTATGACGTTCAATTGATAGAAACCCCTTCGAAATAAAAGAATATATGCCATTTATTAAATCTGTTTGGCAGGTGAAACTTTAGAAAACTTGGATGTGGAAGTGAATGGAGATAAGAGACACCTACACTCATACCCACACTCCATAACTATACCGTTATTAATAATACTTACTTTACTTTTCACTGAATTATATGCAAAATATTGTTTTATTACAATTTGCATGGAATCAGTAGATATTTTTAGATCTGAACGTGAATCCAACGGGTTCTACAACTCATCTACATCGATATTGATAAACGTAGGATTTCAGATATCAATATTTGTCAATCTTGAATAGATATTTATTAACAAAAACTACGTATTATTTAGAAATCTTTATTTAAAAAAAGATGCAACACACAAGTATTATCACATCCAAATGAGTAATTGATCAATTTGCTTATTAAAAACAGCTTCAAATCGTTGATCAGAAAGAATGGTATTCTGTTGTAACCATTGTTTTGCGTCTGTTTGTAATTTTTTACAGAAATTTCCACGAATACCAAAGCCAATCAATCTATGTTCTTTGAATTCTTGCAGCAAACATATTACCATCGATTCAATTGAATCTGGTGACACGACTTCATTTGTTTGTTGATCTTCATCGATGGGTAAGTTTGGTTCTGTAGAATTTTCAACGATATTATCATTGGGAACTGCTATTGGGCTGTGTCGTAAGTGTGTTAAAGTGACAGATAAAACATCAACTCGAAAAAATGTAGAAGCAATAGTAGGTACGTGTTTTTCATTGAATGTTATTGATGATTGACTTGTTGTATTTTCATGAATGAAAAGTGAAGTAATCTGATGTCTAAGAACATGATGGATTTGTTGATTTTCGATTAACTGCCATAAGAATTCAAAAGGTAAATCCAAGCGTACGAGATTCGGTGCAGCGTTAAAAAGAATTGAAGAATTGTTCAAATCAGAAGGTATTGATCCATAAATGGACACTCTATGAAGTCGAGATAATCTAGGAATATGTGGTAGTGGACGTTGTTCTTCTAAAAATAATTATATATCGTTATAAAAAAAAAATAGTTAAATCTTAGCCTACTCCTTTTATTTTAAATATGAGATATCAGTTTTTAGAAATTAAAATATTTTTGCATGAATTTACATTAGTGTTGCTGGGTAATTCTGATTTTTTATAGAACTACATCACCGTAAATTACGACCTTCATCAAACTGTATAGCCAATTCAACTGAGTAGGTGTTTTTTTTTATGAGAGTTAAAACCAATGTGTAGACTGCCTGAAGTCTACAATACAGTAGAGTGACGTGTCTAATAATCTACAGACAGTTGAAACTATCATACATTGTGTCCAGTTTAGAATCAAATTTTTGATCAAAAAGAGGGAATATACTCTCGAAATAGAAAGTTCCTAAATCAAATGACAATCTCGCATTCTATTAGTTTTATATTATCTGTATAGTTTTGATAGATTAGTTTCAAATAGTCTCCAACTCTTTGTCAATTATACATACCTTTCGACACTTCGCTAGTATCTGTAATCGTAATGGTAATTCTTTTCACTTGATGGAATTGCGATATTATTCCTAAAGCCTTAGTTAAAGTAAAGTTTGTATCGATCTGAAGCTTTAGTCGTTGAACACTACTATAATAGTCATTTAAATGATCCGTTTCACATGATATCTTCTTATTTATTAAACTCGGAAAATGAAAATCAGTAAAACCCCACGGTAGAGTATGAAGAAATAATGATGTTTCTTCATGAAAGCACATAATCGGATGAGATGATGGCCAAGAGACAAGAATATCATCAATATCATCAATATCCATATTATCAATGAAGTAAGTAGCGTAGTGAAAAAGTTGAACAGTAGAAGGCAGTGAAGCAAGAATTGTGTTACCGTCGACAAGACGTCTATCATGTGTTAAAAGATAAAGTGATAGATTTTTTACTATTGGTAACTGAGCGAAGAGAAGAAGTAATTCTTCGAGTGTCCATGGTTGCGTAATGGATCTCAGTTCGAAATTTGTAAGATGAAGGAGAGGAGGTAAGTTCTGGCCAAACGCAGCTTCCGATGAATAATAGTTTTCATCAATTATTACGTCTAAATATTGAACATTTGGAACGGCATGAAAGAGAAATGATAAATCTGTTCTTGCTCTTAAATTGATCCGTAATCGAATAATATTCAAGTAAGAATCATTTTGTTGAAAGCGTAAAAAAGTTGACTCCTCATCCATTAATATTGTTGTGACTCGATGATTATTTGCTTGAAATAATGATCGAACGACTTTTAATCGATTGGCCTGAGATATTCCAAAGAGAGAATATAAACGAATCTCAACAAAATGATTTAAATCATGTAGACTATCAAGAAGAGCAATTAATTGATTGTCTTCATATGCAACAAGACTGATTCTTTCCAATTGAGGAAACGTTATTGAAATTTTTTTAGCAAAATATTTGATGAATAAATCATCTTGTAACACCGAATAACAACAATCAATGAGTAATGAACGAACTTGAGAACCTATTTGAGGAAACATATTTTCACATAAATAATCACTTCTGAAAAGAGATATTTTATGTAATGAAATATGATGTCGATATTGAGTAATCATTTGTGTTATTCGATAATTAAGTCCAATAAAAGATATAAGAATATCAGCACATGATAAATATTTACAGATTTGTAATAGAATTTCATCTGGAAGAGTTTCCAACGTTGATTTATTGCATGAAGTTGTCATCTACAAAAAGATAAGTAGTAAATGATACGTACATATATGGTTATTTCATCATGAGAATGTATCCTTATAATCCTTTTGCATCTTTTTCAAGATCGATTTTTCTAAAGAAAAATTACAGCTTTACGTCCAAGACAATTTTATCAATTGAACTAAATCGTTTTTTTCCTGTTGTAGGTTAAAAAACCATAAAATTTGAGTAAATCCTAATATAGACAACATATCCAGTCCATACAAATTTGAATTCTGACTGTTTTTTACTGGAAGGATTTGAATGAAATCACATTCAATTATGAACTGTTCTCACGGGATCGAATTGAATCGTATTAGAGTTGAGACATCTCTATTCATTTCGGTCTCTAATCTAAAGATTCTGAATTTATGACAGACTTCGCTCTACTTATTGTGATTTATCTATTTCGAAAGTTTCAGAAATTATTATTATGACCATCCCATTATTGTTTGTGATATTACGATGATATGGGAGACTATCAAACAGCGTCCGATAGATTATTAAATGCAGAAATTTTACACAATTTACATTTAAGAGAAATGAAATTTTATTTTACTTGAAAATTTAAGTTTACTTTAAATTCATTTCAGTTTTGATCTAGATATATTTCAAGTATTCTCAATTCTATGATCAATTCAAGTTTACAAAAATTCTTTGATATCAGAAACAAATTAAACATGAAGTAAACTTTAACTTGAAATGGGGGATAATTTAAATTTACCAAAAAAAAATTTATACTGATCAGTAACCAATAAAACTCGATTCGATTCGGTCATTGTTTTTATTTCAATTCATGTAGACAATCTTTACATTCTCAGTGGAGTACAACTATAGAATTAAAAAAAATGAATGCTCGCTATTTAACGTTGTTCTGAGAATTTTTATAGCTTATGACTGTTTATAAAATGAGATTTTTCTAAAATAGTAAAAAAATCGTTAACTTAAAGGGACCATTCGAAAAAGAAGAAATCAAAAAATTGAGAAGTTTTTAAAAACGCAAGAAGTTTAACATGTTCTTATCGTAGAAAAACAAAAAATGAAGATCACAAATTTCTTTTTTTTTGTGTACATACACTTCATATTCTATGTTGTACAAAATACTGCAATAAATATTACATAACGCATACATTAATTACACGGTCAGTCTAACGCCTAGCAGCAAATGCATGTGGCGGATAGTGGGCGCAAGAAAACGGTTTTGAAGATTCCGATAGTTATTCTTTGAAATAATAAAGACAGATATTTTAGCGTAATTTAGTTTTAGAGTTTCAGTCGCATCTCTGATTCAGAGGTGATCAGTATTGGATGATTACAAGAATGTAATAATGGCTGATTTGAAGCAATAGAAATCTTTCATCAAGTTTTTTGCCTTCTTCTCCGCTGTAAGAAGCTACAGATACCGATGAATGGCGTCATCTGTACATACGGAACATTTTTTGAAAAACAATTTGGGTGCAGTTCGAACGATAATCATTGTTTTTTTACGTTTACTACGATTTAAACGATCTAGGATGCCTGTCAAAAACGAAGATAAGAGTTATAAGTGCATTTCTTTGATATTCTTTCGTTATTTTGTTCATGCTTCAGTTGTCTTTCTGTCTTACTAAGAGTATGGGTGTAGATGCAAATCTTCCATTCATCCAAATCTAGACCCATATCTTCGATATGTTATGCACTAGTCGTCAATGTTTATATACACCCATCTATTAGTTCTTTCTTCAAGTATATCTATTGTAATTGCAATAATAAAAGATTGGCATTGCATTGAATATATTAAATGATGAATGAATGAGATATGAATGCTGCGTAATACTATTGGAAACACGGTATTCAGTCAGTAATACAACGATGACACTGTCCTCCAACAAAATTATCAAATAATAATTAATGAATAATTTTCTTTTGAAATTTATTGACATCAATGAATCATTCAAAAAAGTATCTATGCGTGGTTGCTTCTCCATCCTATAGACGTCTAGCTGGACACATTCATAACTTCTCACATTGTGGACAAGGAACTTGGCAACCAAATAAATAAGAGTAAGAGCGATCAGTAGTGTTCTAAAATGCTACAGGAGAAGGGGAAGATAAACTTACATTATCACAATCAACAATACAAAAATCTTTTGACATGAGTAGTGAAGCGTAACGATCAGTTAGCACTACATTATTGTTTATATTATTAGAGCTTGCCTTTGAAATTTATATGAATTATAAATGTTTTTCCGTCAACTAAGATTTTTATGCACAACTTTACACAATATGCTGAAACTCATTTCATGGTAATGATCTTATGCAAAGAGTGACTCTACATACAAAGCACTTCTCTCTTTAGCTGAAGTATAAAATGCGTTCGAAAGTTCTATTCTATTCTTTATTAAACAATGCTTAATAACTTTCCTTCATTTCAATGTGCCCATTTTACCCCTGGGACAAAATTTATTATTTGATTTTAAATAAGAAACAAGTAAAGTATGATATCCGACACCAGATTTCTATTCGACAACCTTAGTTTGTTCAATAGTGTACCTAGATAGAAGTCAAGGATACCGAATACGACAGAAAGAGTCGTGAGTTAAGGAAAAGGAGATTTTGTTTTGGATTATCATGATATACACAATTATATTGCATCCATCGACATGTATACCACATGAATTCGATTGCAACTGCACTGCTCCAACAATTCCATCACTTGAAGAGTGTAAAAAGCACGATTTGATACCTCAAGAGCAAGAAAAATCTTTAGGTTTTGTCCTCAGAAATTATTTGAGACTGTGATTGAATGTGGGTCTACGCCTCACACCCACCCTCTAAACATATATTCAGTTAGAGAAATGTGTATCGCCATTTAAATCTTCTCTAAACAAATATCATATTGGAAAAGTGTAATGATTCTCATAGATCAGCTTTTATATGAGCAAGAGAACAATTCATGAAGATCGCGCGATCTAAGAAGATCAATACGATAAACTAATCAGATGTGAAGAGAGCCTGTTCTAAAATTGAATTTCATAGCGATAAAAGAATCAATTGATGATTTGGTTAGATTTTTAAACAAAAATCTATACATTGACATCATCAAGGATGAAGGTATTGACCAAGAGATTACAAACAGAATGAATTGAACTATAACAACGCAACCTATTCGATATAGGTTAACTCTATTCTATCAGCAAAAATTATTCCCATAGAAAATTAATTATACAACTCGATAGAGCAGAGAGCTCCTCTGATGAAGTGCGTATATCACGTAATGGAAAGATTCAGTTTTGTAGTGAACCTATGAATCAACAGTTCTCATCTTTATGCTCATTTCTAATTTATCTAGTAGAATAATAATTTGTAAATGTGTCCAAGACGAGAGAAACGCAAAATATGATTTTACTTGGTGCTGAAAAAAAAAATCATTGATTTATTTGTAAGACAATATTGAAACGTTTCAATCCACAGTTAAGAAGATATTGATCGGTTCTTTTCAATTCTATCCTTCATAAAATATCTATGCACATCTGTAGATGCAATCGATGTTCAAATTATTATTACCCAGAATAAAATTCTATTCGCAAGAATGCATTTGTTAGAGAAATAGAGATATCAGTGAAATTAGCTGTTTTCGGTCATGATTTCGGCAGAATAGAAACCGAGACCATGATGCTCATATCGTACATATGACTAGATTTAACTTTTCGTTTAAGTCTATTATCTATTGTTTCTTACTTACATTTGACCTTTCCCCTATCCTTTAAATTGATCATTGAGACAATCAACTTTCACGAATTACACAACTACTTCATAAAATATTTATTTTCATATAAAAAAAAATTCTTTATGTCATTTTTTGTTTTACACATTTGTTACTATGCAAAATACAGACTGAAATCAGTAAGAAAATATCACAAAGAGAAAAAAAACAGCAGGTATAAATATTGTTTAGATTGCTTGAATAAATGCATGTGCAAGTTTAAAATACCATAATAGGGAACAAAAACAATATCTAGAACAACAACAATTTTCATTCTAACTGACAATATTCTGCTGGATTTTATAATAAAATGCTCTTGCAGCATTAAATCGATTATTATAACATTTTTCTAATTCAACATCTAATGCTTGTCGAGCTTCAGAATCATCTTTTGCAATCATTAATCTTTCATGAAAATGTTGATAATATTCTTCACCTATTGGTTTAAAACGGTGTTTATGAATACGAAGAGCATTAAAACATAACCATATTCGCTTTTTGATCGTTTCCCATAATTTTGTTATTTCTTTATCATCATCTTCACGACCAATAATAGCTAAACATAAAAGTATAGTTTATTATTTTTTTTTTGTCAGATATTATCAATTCTTACCAATGAAAACATCTTCACTAAATGGAGAATTTGGTATATCCATAAAAAGACCAAGTAATCGTTCAAGTTTAGTTTTTTGACCAAATGCACAACCGAAATCAATATGTAAAATTTTACCATCATCAGTTATCATGATATTATCATCTATGAAAAGAAAAATATGTTTTTTTTTAATACCAAGTTTCAAAACAGTACATGTTTAGAAAACAAATTTCAAACAAAACATTACAACTACACAGTATAACTTCTCTCTAGGTTTTACTGCAACAAATTTTAAATCAGATTTAACAGTGTAAGTAAGAATTACTCATAGATGCTGACGAATTTAAGAGATCGATTATTTTTTCGTTATGAAAATTTTTATTTTACAATAATAAGTTGATACTAATTTGGAAATTCACAAAATAATTTTTTTTATCATCACTATCTTTTTATTGACAACTTGAATTCACCTCTCATTAACTAGCTGTGAAAGGCCGGTGAATTCTCGTTTCGTCGAAAGCTTAATTGATTTTCTTGTTTCGTCAAAAATTTTTATATAGCTGTTTTTCCAGTGCTCCTATTTCGTCGAAAAATTTTTTTGTAGCGTTCTCGTTTCGTCGAAAAGTAAAATTGAAAGAAAAGATGAAGAATATAAGTAGCTTATTCTAATTGCTTTCGTTCTCTTGAATAGATTAAGAGGCATCAAAGAAACAAATTAAACTCTATCGTTACATCATTCAACCAACGATCCAATACCACTACGAAAAATTTATTTGTAAATCGAAATCCTTGATCCAAATATTTAGTTAGTGGTTATAGACAACACACCTTAGTTGTGGACAAATAGGGGTTAGGATGAGAATGTGTGATTGTTTCGGTGTATATGAGAACGTGGGTGATAGCTTTCTGATTGCCTACCCACACATTCAACACTATTAACATCTCAACATTTTCACAGCTCGGTGTTTGTAAATGTCAGCATTTTTCCCTTTCGATATTAGTGAGGTGACTCCATTAGCTGTGCAATCTTTGTAATGCTCTTAATAAATGTTTTTGAGATCCATCTAGAATCATTTTTTTGAATTAGTCTGTTAAAGTAAATGAAATGATTATGAATAAGCTAAGCATATTCTGCATATTTTCATTCAAATTTTAATTTTCGACGAAACAAGAACATACGAAAAAAAATATTCGACGAAACGAGAAAACACGAAAAAAATTTTTCCGACGAAACAAGAAAATCAATTAAGCTTTCGACGAAACGAGAACTAACCGAAGGGCCTTCATGAAGAAATATTCTTCTAGAACATAAAACTCGAAGTACGATTGATGATTATATCTGACTAATGCTTTATTTCTAATAGTCTTTAATACTATAATTAATGACTACTGATGATATAACATGGAATTGAAATCGATCTGAATATAAGAGAGAGAGAGAGTTTCGTATCTCTTGCCGTATTTTTCAAGACATTTTAGATATGTGCTCAGTTTTCATTGGTACTATTATTTGATCTTTTATCAATATGTTCTGTACTGTATTATAGAAATTTCAATCATGACTATCAATTTTTTCATCAGTGTACACCAAAGCTGACGATCTGATCTGCTTCTTACTCGTTCGATTCCAGCAACATATCCTTGGACTAGTGTTGTAAGACTTACATTGACTGATAGAAGAGCTTGTTTAGATTCAAAACGATAGGATAGTAAACTTTACGGTCTTGCTGTTGCAAAAATTCATTATCAAATGTCTATGTCCTTGCCTGTTATTATAAGTATCACTTATTCCTGATAGTTTCTTTTATCGCTTCGTTCTTATGCCTAATTATATGTTGTTCAAGGCTTTGCTGTATGAAAAATATTTATAAGGTTTGTTTATTTACGAAGGAATGTTCCTCAACTGATCAATCGTTTTTGAATTTGGACTCTATGCATAAGGTAGACTCCAATGAGATATAAAAATCTCAAAAGCGATTGTTCTTGTTTTTTCAATATGATAAAAATAAAATTTACCATGTCGATCAGCTAATTGTAGAACAATGCCAGAGATGATAAAACCTAGAAATGTTCGAAATAAATTTTTTTGTCTTTCTGGTTGAATTTCAATAAATTTTTTTAATTTATCGGATGATTTTGAATTTTTATTTTCATCATCAACTGTAAATTCAAGAAATGGATGTGCATTATCAATAAATTCAACAAGACCTTCTGTTTTAGCAACTGGAAGAACCTAAATAAAAAAAAAAAAAAAAAACAACAACATAACATTTCTTTACTAAATTCAATTTTACTTCATAATAAACAACTTCTGCATCGATATTTTCTTCTTTAAATATCATATTCATTTCTTTCATAACAGCAATACATAAAGCATCTTGTAATAATTCATCACCATGTTTATACATACATCTAGAAAATTCAATATTTTATGTTTTTTTATAAATAAAACAATTTCTTACGTTTTTGTCTGTCCTTTTTCATTAATAACTGTAAATTTCAATGGTTTTCCTTTTGATGATATAAACGAACCATCACGTAATTCTTTAACAATAAAATCTGGTGATGTTGGTAATATAAATGGTACAGGTATTTTTGTTAAATCAGGTGTTTCATTTTCACCTGCTTTTGTTATATTAGATAATTTTTCAATAGCATCACGAGCTGTACAAACTAATTTACAATTATCTAATAGATAATTACATACATTTGAACGTTTATAATAATGACATGACCAATATAAAAGACTTCGATCAGCATCAGAAAGTGTTTCATTTGCTTGAATTAATAATTGATCAGAATGTTTAATTAAACCCCATAAAAAGAATGGATCATGAACATTAACAATATTCATTGATTCTTCTTTATATTTATTTGTATTAATATCATTATTCTTTGTCATACTCAATAAAAAAATCTATCTGATTCTAATAAAAATGAAATTAATAAGAGAATTTATTTCTAAAATAAAAATTTAGAATACTATTTTAAAAAATATATTTAGAAAAAAAAAGAGATTTTGTCCGTTTTTTTTATTTAAACAATCTATTGTCATTTGATTATGTGTGAGTTGTTATATGTAAAAATAGTCTTTCGATCAATTGAATATTTAATTAATTCGTCTTATTGTCTATCGACACAATCATTATATAAAACATTTTATGAACACATGGGTAATAAAATTACTAAACTGTTAGTGATTTTTTTGGATGAATTCTTTAGTTTCGAAATTACTTTTAATTCAATATTTTTTTTTATTAATGTCTGCAAATCTCGACGATGTTATGTTTCAATTGATGGAATTGGTGTTTTTTTTCGCTGTCACACGTATAATTAGAGCTGTAGTAAACCTCGTAGATTTTGCTGTTGGAAGAAGAGTTACATCTAAAGGAATATCATCTTCTTGTGTCATATCTAATAAACATCTCTGTTTGAGTATATTATACAAAATGTAAAAATGATCTATACATTAATTGATATTTATCAAAACTAGCTTGTGTACTTGTTGTAATTTCAAATAACGTTTCATAAGTGATCCATAAAATGTACAAATAAAATTGTTTTATATGAATTAATTTGATTGATAAATTCTAATTCTTGTTCAACTGTGTAATGTTCTTGCATTAATTAATAATTTAATATTGAATCCCATTGCTGTTAAAGTACAATAAAATTTAAGATTTATTAATTCATCAAATTTTCGAGCATCAAAAATAAGTTATAATCAATTGTATATGATACTGATGGTATTATTTGTGTACCTAAATCAAGAATAGTTGCCTATATAGAGTAATCTTGTGTATTATGTTGAATGTATGTTAAAAATCTTTAATTTATCATTTGTTATTTCTTTTGATGAATTATATAATGTTCCAGAATTTTCTATAGTTTGAGTTATATTAACAAGCCATTTAAGAATAATTTTTTCTAGATGTATAATAATAACTGATGCTGTTGTTTCAAGTTTAGCTTGAATACATTGGTTTTTTTAACGTGTTGTTTTAACTTTATCTTATTTTCGATCCATAGATGAATTAAAATACTTGATTAGTTTAGTTAATAAGAAAGTACAAAACTTTTGGATGTTGTGACAAGACAATTGTTATGAATAAAAAAAAACAAGAATTATTTATTATTTAAAATTTTTTGATAATACGTATATGATTCATTTATTATGAGCCAATAGTAGACATCCGTCAGAAGACTAACGTATCAACAAAAGATCCCACTAGTAGATGAGTTCTTTATTGATGATAAAAATTCTTCGTTTGAACTGTAACTTTTTGTTGGAAACTGGGATGTTTCAATGTCGCCAGGATTAATGAGTTCGGAAGTTTTCTGGAAATCTGTGCGTAAAAAATACAATAAAACGCTGAAGAAAAACGACAATTTTTCAAGACTAAGGGAAGGAAATCATTCGCTCGGAACACTCCCGGTTGGAAAAACTGTAAAAATCAAGTATAACCGAAGAGCTATTACTGTACACTATTCAAAATTTGTTTGTCTTTCATCTACTGATTGTCAACAGGAATTCGAGAAAATGATAACCATCATGAATTTTCCGAAAGTAGGGTTTCTGGAAAACTTAAATCCTAATTTTTCAACATCCAAAAGCCACAACAGAAAACTTTTTTAACAGTCTAGAATTATAGAGCAGCCAATTCTCTGCAAAATAAAATGTCTCCGAGCTTTCTACGACCTTCTCTCCAAAAGTTATAAGCATCACAAAAATCGAAAAAATGCGTGTTTTAGTCGATTTTCCCATAAATTTCACTTTTTTTCGATTTTTGTGATGCTTATAACTTTTGAATGGAAGGTCGTAGAAAGCTTGACAACGTCTTATTTTGTAGAGAATTGGCTGCTCTATAATTCTAGACTGTTAAAACAAGTTTTCTGTTGCGGCTTCTGGGTGTTGAAAAAGCAGGGTTTTGGTTTTCCAGAAACCCTACTTTGGGAAAATTCACGATAGTTATCATTTTGTCGAATTCTTGTTGACAACAATATTCTCTATTCAAATCACTATTTGGATTCTTTCTAACACCTAAGACTATGAAAAAAAATTCAAATTACATCTTGTTGAACAATTTTGGGACCCACTGTATATATATTTAAAATACAGTGGTCACAAAAAGCTCTACTACCAGGTAAAAAATATCTATACTTTAATCCTTGTGCCTGATATTTTGATCAGAAATAGAACATGTTGAACTCTTCTCATTCGACATCTCAATGCTACTTCTATCAACAATAAAAATTTCATGTCAAACAGTTTTAGTTTGCCTAATTTATTAAGTATTCTTTGAGTCACCTCCATATGAAAGTTGATGAGAATTGTCGAAAAGCTTCGACTACTTTTAACTACTGATCGTGAAAATTTCACGATCACACTCATCAATGAAGAAGAGATTCATATTGAGACCGTTCCAGACAATAGAGGCTTTCCTGTGCTTCAAGATTATAGCGAATTCGAGTACCGTATCTCTGATACGATGTAAGCATACGAATCTTTGTGTTAATAAGAAAATGCAGGATTATTACATTCAAATAATAGTCGAGTTGCTGCTTGCGATCAGTGTTTACCGAGCACTATTTGCATTCAAAATATCAAGCAAAAGGATTATATAGAAATTTAAAGCTAAATTGAATCATCTGAATAGGCAAAATTCTCCTATAATAAACCTTTGATTCAAGTCGACAGATTAGAAAATTACAATATTTGAAATTTTACTTTATACATAATCTCAAAATTACAAAGAATATAACTAATTCACCTGCTATTTTCTGTAAACATCCAACGTTTTATACAAGCTCGTACTCATCAAGTTCGATGCTAAATCTTAAATATCTAGCATCAATAGATAGAAAATTTGATGTTCTATGCTCTCAAGACTTCTCATGATGTCGTTCAAGTGCAAAAAAAAACTTCATAGTTTCAAAAGCTAGAGTACCCTACGAACGGTTTATCATTATACCGTTGAATGCGGAATAAAATTCTGAACAACAAAAATCTTTAGATTGCTCACAATGACATAGAGTTGTCAGCAAAAATCTTTTCCATTGTTTTCTAATTTTTGCATAAAAAATTATTCTTTCACTAATTTTTTTCTTAAAATTACGAAACATCGTGAGATACAGCATATTTCGAATTTCAGCGGAATTGATTATTTAAATATATTTTTAATAATTCTTTTGTTTTTTGACAACCGCAGTTGAATAAGCAAGTAGCTGTCAATCTTTTCGATTTTTCTGCAACAGAAGAAATTTATTTGAAGAATAGAGTCGACAGTTTTATGAGCCATCCATTATTTTCCTTTAGTCCTATCAATTCATTTTATCACACTATCTATTAAGTAAGTAATGTCATGTAGTTCGAACAAATCTTTTTTTTTTTTTTATTAATATTCTTGTCATATTTCATTCTAATTCAACAAAGAATAGATTCATTATTATTCAAATGGTACGAAAAAAAAAACAAAAGAAATAATTATCTTGTATCTTTCTTCAAGTTTATTTACTTTTTTAATAAACATTAATTAACTAATTTTAAACGTTATTTATATTCAAATTTTTCTTTATTATTATATGACTACTAATAGTCAATTAAATGATTTTATTAATTATGAATAATAGAAATGAATATTTAACAAAACAAAAAAACATTATATTTACACCACATGTTCATAACTCTGTCCAATACGTATTCGTTCAATAGGTAATAATGATTCATAACGAAAATCTCTTTGATTATTATTATTATTATTATTAAATAATCCATTTGATGAATTTTCTATAGATATTTTTGTATCATTTATATTTGAAATTCTTCCAGTACCTAATAAAAATTCATCATCAGGTGTTAATTGTTCAAATTCATTTGCATAGAGTTCTTCAAGTGTTGGTCGACGACATCCTAATAAATAACCAATAAAACCAAAAACAGCTAATGTTAAAAAGATAAGTCCAAAACAAATAAGTACGATTGACCAAAATGGAAAAAAACCTATGAAAAAAAAACCAATTTCAAATATTTCTGTTGTTTTATATAGAATTAAAAAATAAAAATAAAACCTCGAAGTAAATAATCAGGATTAATACGATTGAACATATCTGTTCGTCGACCACTAGTCATTTCATAATGTGTTCGAGCTGCATAACTAAGATCATTTTGTTCTCTTAATTGATCAGGTGTTAAAAATTGACCATTACAAATAATAATAATAATGCTTATGAATAATATTCCTAAAAGAATTTTTGATTAAACAAAAAAAAATATCGAATAGAAAAGACATACTTATTATGACCTTGACAAAAGTCATGTTCTACTAGGAGACCATTCACGAATATATATGTTTGTATAAATGAACGGAGAAAAAAAAAAAAAAAGAGGAAAGGGTCAACAAATGCGTTCGTGAAAACGACCACTAGTGACAGGAAGGTAAAATTGAAAAAGAGAGAGAACATTAAGGTGTGCATATATATGAGTACAAGAAAAAAAAAAAAAAAGAATCGTCCAAAGAGAATATGTCGTTTGCTGAAGGACAGAAACAGAACTATCGTGTCGTTCATGTATGTTCGCTTGTTCTTTATATTTCTTTGATTTTAATATCTATATCTTTATAAAGACGATTTTTATTCGATGATTAAATCAATAATTGAAATGTATAAAATTAGAATAGATGATTTTGATAAAATTTGCCGATGTATAAAATTTTTTCTTTTGTATATACGATTGATCATTGGTTTTTTTTTTAAAACTTTTATTTAATGAAAAGTTTTTTTTTCTTCACAAATTACTTCTTGTCTTATTTAAATCAATTGAATTTATATTTTTCTATTTACTACATACTCATTCATATTTGTTAAATCCTTAAGTTATTCTAATCTCAAATAATCAAATTTTACTGAGAAATTTTTTTTTTTTTGATTTCTATCAATACTGGTTTCTTTTTTTTTCATACATACTCATACACAGATGCCCAATAGTATCAAATCATATCGTCTTCACATGCATACATACACACTCACAAAATAATAAAATACAGCACACGTACACACACACACACACACACTTTAATACATCTGCCAAAAGATACGCACACACGTGCATATGGATGATGACAATGATAAAAATGACAGTGTTAACAATAAAAAGAAAAAGGAACTGAAACAAAAAAAAAAAACACAACAAATATGTAACTGTAAAAAAAAATCGCTTATTGTTGTTTTTCTTTTTTTTTTTGATAATGATGGCAGAATGGAAAGACATGCATATATAAATATAGTTGAGAAAAAGAAAACAAGATTATGATCGGAAAAAAAGGAAATGATGTAGATTGCTTCGTTTGTTTGTTTTTTTTTTGCACATTGCAAAAAAAAAGAAGAACAAATGACGGAAATATACATAATTATAGATAATCTCATCGTATTATTTTCTGTTGTCCGTGATCTTGTTTAACATGATCAATTATATTCGATGTTGTTGTTGTAGTCGGTAATAATATTCGTCCATTCCAATCGGTTTCAAAATAATTATTCGTATAATTTAATTGTGATGATATTGTTTGTCGATTTACTGCTGGTGGTGTGATGAGATCATATAAAAAATTAATATCACCATTCGGATCATTAGTAGGAATATTTGATGATGATGATAATGATGATGATGTTGATGGTGTTTTTATTGCTTTTGAACGTCTTAAAAATAGTAATCGATCATTTGATGTATCAGTAAAATATTGTAAAACTTGTCCATGATGTTGATCATGAAGATCATTATTAACAGTATTATTAAATAATGTTGCATTATGATGATTTAAATTTGGATCAGTTATAGAATTTGTATGAAGTAAATGAATATGGGATAGATCACTTGATAGATAATCATCATGTCCACTAAATGAAACATTATGAATATCATTATTTATTGTTTGTGATGTAACCAAAACAGAATTTGGAACAAGTGTAGCTAATGATGGATCAGGATAATGATGACTATCTTGAGACTGGGATACATTATCTTCTTGGTCAGTATCAAGAGAGGATCCATTAGAATCTAGATCGTTTTCTTTTGAAACTAAAAATAATATATATATATAGGTACAATATATAAATAGATATAGTTAATATTCAACTTATAAACATGGAACGTGAAGTATTCTTAGAATGTTTATGATCATATGTTTTTATTTTTTTTTAAACATGTCAGCAATAACAAAACGACTTAACTTATTAGTCATTTATATAAGCATGCAAAAAAAAAAGTAACCATAGTTATATAGTCGTGCAGTGCATATCAATAAAAACTTATATAGATTTTATTTGTGTTAGTAGATATATATATATATTTTATTAATAATAGTTTACGTAGAGTTATTCTTACTTGAACGATTTGGTGATGTGTTAGTAGTTATCATATGTATTGTATTAGTCGTAGTGGATATAATTGACTCTTGACAATCATCACGATACCTATCTGAACTTATACAACTGCAAATATTGTGATATTTACTCTGTAGTTTTTTGTGTTATGTCTTATACTTCTAATTTTCTCATTGGAAGTATCGAACTAAATTCTCATGAAACTTACTTAAAAGCATTTCATTAATAAGATCATCAACTTGTTTTGTATCTTGATTATAACGTGCAACTAGATCAACCATAAGACGAGCTATATTTTGTAATGGAGGCATTAATAATAATAATTCTCCAAAACGTCCACGCATTAATGGTTTTTGTTGATTTATATAAGTTTCAAGATTAACTTGTATACGTTTACGTAATTCTTTTACGCGCATTGGATCTGATAGTGATTTATTATCTAGAAAGATGAGAAAAAGATATTAAATGAATTTTTTTATATAATATATATATATATACAAACCATTATCAAAAAAAACAATAGCTTTTAAACAAGCATATTCTTTTTCATCTAATTGAATTTCTTTTAATGGTTTAACAATTTCATCAAGAATTCTACCAGCTGCACGAGTTAAACCAGGATCAGATGTATTTCGTGGTATAACATAATGATTACCCAAAAGTAAATAATCATCACAATTTAATGAACGGCAAGCAAGACCCAAAACAAGATTTTCTCCTGTATGACCACGTAAAAGAGCAATCTAGATTAATTATAATATATGTTTACATATAATTCATCAAATTTGAGTATGGCTTTTTTTTTTGTTATTGTTGTTTATCTTACTTTATCTGTATCGGATAGTTCAATAAAACTTTTTAAATCTTTTGCCCATTCAATTAAACTACGAAGTTGATAATTCATTGATATACCAATTGTTTCTAATGTAGCTTGAACACGTTCTGTATTGGACGGATGTCGATCAAGTTGAATTTGTCGACCAATATACTAGAAAATCAAAAATAATAAAAAATTTTTATTTTTTATTTTCTCATACTTCTTTAGCTGTTTGTTCGGCTCTTAAAAGTGCCATTATACTTAGATCATCTTCATCGTCATCAAGATTATCACTTAAATGTCCAATTGATTTTATTGTTACCACTCGAGTATTACAATTATTACTGCGTTGTCGTCCAAGGCGATCTCTTTCTTTTTGTACAGCTATAAGATTCGAAATGCAAAAAAAAAAACAAATAAATTATTTCTATCATTATTAAAATCATATATTTACCATCTCTTCTCATGCCCATTCTAATACATTTTCTATAGAAATAAAAATAAGGATAGATTTAAATAAAGAAATTTATATCAAATAAACATGCTTCCATCGACAATGACGACATTGATTACGTTTATCTTTATCGATTGTACAATTATTTTGATGTCGACATTCGTATACAGGGTTTTTTCGTACAGTTCGTCGAAAAAATCCCTTACAACCATCACATGATATTGCTCCATAATGTTTACCTAAATAATTATATAATATATATATAACCATGTAATTTAATTAATTATTATTTACCTGTAGCTCGATCACCACAAACAACACAATCTAAGATTTCATTATTACTTCCAAAAGTATTATTATTATTATTATTTGTTGAACTAACACCTAAATCCATAACTGTTGCACCTCCTCCAATGCCATCATTAACATCAAGGGAATCATCATTAGTTTCACGTTTAATAATTGTTTCTGTTTCGCTAAATTCACTATTGACTATGGCACGTTGCACTAAACAAAACAATAACAATGAAAAAGTTAAATGAAAAAGAAATTTTATATGATTATTATCAATACTATTTCTCGATCATCATCATCATCATCATCTATAAAGTGTATGATACTTACTGGTATGTCTTTTCGATTGAGGGAATTTGTTGAAACAAACAGTCAGCGAAAGAACGAAAAAAACAGAGTGAGTAAAAAAACAACAAGAAAAGATAAGACAAACGAATGAAGAATATGTTAGTACTTTTTTGGAAGTAGCATATAGCAAAGGATTCTTTTCTTCTTTTTTTTTTAATATCTAGCACACGTCAGCTGCGTGATTCATTGAACGAAGGCACGGTTGCCTGTTGATTTTTTTTAAAGTAAGAAGCTGTCAAGACGTGCGGTGTTCGTCATCGTTATTGCTTATCCGTTCTTCTTTCTTTTACGCTTCTGTTTGCTTTCGACATATATTTATCATTGGTTGATTATATTTCTTTCTTTTTTTTTACATGCATCTGTCGACACTGTCTTTTCTTCTCTAAAAGCCTAAATAAAAAAACACTTTCCATTTATGTACATTATTCACGGTGACATCACTATTATATTGCACCCATCTTTTCTCTTCTTTAAGTGACAACTAATATATTATTTTGCATTGATTTATAGGAAACAAAATTGTCAGACACTAAAAAAAAGTCGGTTAAACAAAAAAAAAAGAAAAACAGATTTCGGTACGCTATGACCTTAATCATATATATATGACCAACGTAGTAAGATAATAACAAAAAAATAATGTTGATATCTTTAAAAATTTACATATAAATGTTAAAAGATTCGTAGCTCACCTATTGATACCATCACTAATAAAATTTATTAATAAGAATCATAATCAAAAATCTAAATAGGAAAAAAAAAATAATGTACTTAATGAAGATAATATAGATATTTTTTTTCCTCTTATACAATTATTTGACCTCAGAATATTAAGATTTGTTTTTCAGCTTTTGACAAAACAACACAATTATTGTAATTTAATATTGCGTCTTTTCAAAGTTACCATCGATTAATCTTTTCGATTGGTACCTCTCGCATAAAGTCGCATTTTTAATCTAGCATCTTCTTTATTTTACATATGCCTGCACGATCAAATTGTTCAAGATCAGCGGCATAAATGTAAAAGAATATGCCATTATATATAATCAACAATTATGTTGATCATCTCAAACCTTTTACTACATCATCAATGGTCAATTTTTTAGATCAAAATATTAATATATGTATAAGTTTAGATTAAAATCAAATGATTAATAACAAGATCAATCTTGACATATAATCATATATGAAAAAACACCACCTTTGCATAATTTGCTGAGAAAAATAAAATGAAAATTTTGTTGTCACATAAAGAAAAATAAAATATCCTTAGTCGTATGAAAAGATACGTGTATACCTCGACAAATAATAAATTATTTTTTCAGATGAGTCTTACGTGATTATCTAGACACTATTGAGATAAGAAACTCTAAAATAATAAACGTCCCTGAGTCTTTTGTTTTTTTTCCGCTATACTTATTTTGATGAAAATTTCCAAAAAACAAAAAAATAAATTTTCTTCATATCGAAGATAATCGATGTTAGAGAAAAACCTCATACTTTTACAATGAATTAGTTCAATTGAACAGTTTATTTGTACAAAGTTTGAATGCAAACGTCGACCTAAAAGAGATGATAATTTTATTTTTTTATTTTTTTAAAAGATTCATCGATTCAAAATTCATCCAGACTTTCTTTCATCTCGATAGAATCTACTTCATGAGGTTAGACACATTTCAAAAACAATATATTATTTGTCGAGGTAATAAATACACACGTCAATAACATTCTGTAATATGAATATTTAAAACGAATAGAATCAACAGATTATATAGTAGATTTTGACAAAATAACAAAAAGCTACGACGATAGGACATTCCCTGGATAGAGACAATCTGAATAGAATACTGCTCGACTCAATTAGTTATAAATTAACATTCGTAAGCAATACATATAATCATGATTATGAATAATATATTCATTAACTCAATATACAATAAAGCTATTGATAAGATCGATAAATTCAACAATAATTGAATATTTATTTATTCTAAAACTGACTTTCGACTTTATGACTTATCAAAAGAAATTAGTAGTGTATTTGTAATAGTTTCTTCAGATAGCTGAATATTTCTTATTATATCACTGATCATACGAAGTTCAAACAAGAACTCATAATATGCATGTCTATCATGTTCAACGGTGCGATACAGACTGAGCATAATTCTTCAGCTACATCATTAAAAAAAATAGCACAGTTAAAATTTTGTACAATAGAAAATGTTCTAAATTTCCAGCCTACGCTAAAAGTAATGAAGTTTATATCTATTCTACTTTAATCATGAATATTAAATGTTTATATTTTCTTACAAAACAAAGAGTTTAAGAAAAATAATTTATATTTTAAGATTATTATAAATTCAATTGACGTATGAATGATTCTTTACAATGAAAAAAAAATGAATTGAATATAAATAGAAAGTAGAATATTTGAATAAGTTTCATTTATTAATAATTTATATCAAATCTTCTTCACTGATTTATTTTTCTTCTTTTTTTTCATAAAATATTCACTTACTTTATTTAGAATAATAATTAAAAAATAATTCACTATTGCATAGAATAAACAAAGCGACAAATGAACGTGTGGTCAATGGGGTATATTTCAACGATTAGAATTTTATGTGATAATCTCTATTAAGATGTTTTTTTTTAATAATAATTTGGAAACGGGACATGTTTTATTGCGTATTTTTATATCAAACTAATGAAAAACATTAGTGACATCTATTGATTATAATAAAATCAAACCTCTCAAATAGAAGTAGTTACAATCAATACTTTCTTACATATATTAATTTTATTATCGTTTACTGTAGCGATATATTGTAAGCATAGTAAATTAAATTAAAAATCAGATAATTAATCAAATTTTTGATAGGTATTCATATTATGAAGTACTTTTTTTTTTCGTTCTTTTTTCCTATGTACTCCATTCAAAAATAATAAAAGCCTTTGCATTGAAGCGCTATTTTATACTCATGATCAAGTTTAACGAACATCGAAAATCTATATATATTTTTAGTTTATTTTAAAAATAAAAGAATTTTTCATTATTGAAAAATATTTTCTCTTAAAAATAGAAATTTCAAATGACAACAAATTGTCCATCATTTATTCGATATCAATCACTTGAAGCAACACAAGTTATTCCATTATTTGATTCAATATCAACAATATTTACATCAATACCACCATTTAAACCAAAAGCTGGAGAAGTTTATGTATTAAAACTTGATATTGGACATGAAAGTAAGTTTTGTTTTTTTTTTGTTGAATTCCAACGAATACCAGTGTTCATCCGTTATATAAAGTCTGGAATCATCGAAAGTTCTATGGAACAAAAAGGATTGGGTATATCATGGATTAGTATTTTAACGAATAGAAAAATTTTAATAGAATATTGATTGAATAGAAAATCGATAGGTGAACAACTGACATTTGATCTATGTTAACTTACCGTTGAACAGCATAGAATTGAGAAGTATCATAAAGCAAGATGATTGATCTATTGTAAGAGAGATATTATCATGAAGTTACAATTTCATCGGATTTAGTTTTTAAATAACTTTCAATCGTTTATAACTATCAAAATTGGGTTTACATCATTAGATAGAATAATTTTGAAGATATCTATCTGTGTAACATTTACTAAGTTTGAAGAAATTTTTGCAGATGAATATATATATATATATTTTTTTCGTTGTCAATTTCTACAACTTTTCATAGTAATCTAGACTCAAATTACATCAAAATTTAGTTCGAAGAGTGTTGTATTTTTTTGCATTCTCACTCTGAATTCATGTTTCAAGAGAAATATTCTGAAATCTAGAAATTTTATAGGTAATACGGCTCTCATTGGACTGCATTTTAGTGTACTTTGAACCGCTAGGTTAAAGAAAAAAATTATTCACTTACAAATATCCTTGGAGAATTCCTTTGAACTTAATGAATGTTATACAGATAGACGTCTCTAACATTGCTCTATCTAATGGGAAAAAAATTCGACATCGATGCCTATCAAGGATGAAAAGTTATTCAAAAAATGGTGGTTGGCATGTTTGAAAAATAAATCTGACAATAGTTATTTCGATTCAATCTCTATAATGAACATAGAATTTATAACATATATTGAATATTATTTTTAGACGATTGGCGTAGTGATGGTTATCGTTGGGTACAAATAGCTGCACGTCGTTTACCAACACATAATCCAGTAATAAAAAAATGTTATTTTCATGCTGGACAAAAAAATAAGAAAAAAAATAAAGATTTTGAAAAACAAGCATTTGTTTCACTTATTGATCCATCAAAAGTTGTTGTACAATATCTTGGTGATGAAAATATTGCTGAAGAATTTCCACATGGTAATTCAAAAAAAAATACAAAACCATTTTTTCGTACACGTCCATCACTTCTTAATAAACTTGTATCTGATGCAGCAACAAATGTTGAAACAATACAAATATTTAAACAATATACAACAAAAAATTCTCATGAACAAAATAATGATGATGATGATGATGATGAAAATAATTCTACTGAAATAGATGATGAAATATTTGATGATAATCAAAAAAAGAAATCATTAAAATCTATAAATTCATTTAATATAAAAAATGAAACAAAAATTGGTCCTGAAATTTTATCACGACCTCGTAATATTGAACAAATACGTAATATAAAAAGACGTTTAGCACGTCGTCTTGTTGCATCAGCTGATGAAATATCTAATTTATATCATTTTGCATGTGAAATACCAAATTATATTGTTCGTTTTACATTAATACCAAATATTGTTGCTATTGCATTTTCAAATGAATCAATACATGAATTTAATTTATTATTAGATCATTCTGATCTTTTATCACAACAATATGTTCCTATTACATTTGATTCATCATATACTATTAATACATTTCATGTTACATGTGTTTTTTATCGACATATTGCTATGAAAGAGGAACCATGTATTTTACTTGGTAAGATTACCTTATGAAAGAGAAATATCAATAGAATAGGGATGTTACAATATGAATAATTAATAATCAGTAATGTGAAAACTTTAAAGGGAGTTCAAAATGTTTAAAAATTTGAAGCATAATGACAACATAAGTTTTATATTCTGATCAAGGGTATCGCGAGGTTTCCAAGATTGGGGAGGTCGACTGAAAAAGTTTTGCTAAAATTTACCGGATTGCAGGGAGGGGGGTCGAGCGATTTTTTGAGAATCGATGAGCAAAAAAATGAAAATTTTTCAAGGTTGGGAGGTGACCCCCGCTCGCGACAGCTCTGATTCTGATGAAATGAACGCTTGGAAAGTTTTCTAACTAACGAGAAAATGTGCGCAATTGATCCATGCCGTTTTCAATAATATTTCATCCATATGTCGGAGACAGTATTTCAAGAAAAGTCCTAAGAAAATTTCGGGCTGATGGTGCTTCTTTCGAAGGTTATGACTATTTTTCCACTTAGCAAAATGTATATAGAGAACAACTGAATTTCAAAATTCTGGAGATATTAATTCTTAAAAATTTGTCTCATAATCTACTTTTTCTGAAAATTGAATATTTCCAAAAGAGAACATTTTTTTGCACTGAAACTTTTCCAATGTTCTAATGACCACAAGATTTCAAATTGAAAGTCAGTTGTTCCCTATATACCTTATGCCAGATGGAAAAATCAGTAAAACAGTCATAACCTTCGAAAGAAGCACCATCGATCCAAACTCTCTTAGGATTTTTCTTAAAATACTATCTCCGACATATCATTGAAAATGATATGGATCAGTTGGAAACCTTTCCTCGTAAGAGAAAAAACCGGTGTGATTTGCACTTTTCAAATACAAATAGAAAATGTCATACATTCCACAATGAACTTCATTGTCTCATTGAAAATTTAATATGTACAATATTTGAATTTGAATGAGAGTAGAAATGCAATTGTGATCACCGATGTACTGATCTCGACATGCACGATAAAACTATAGTAATCTCTGATTCATTTCAATCGGGGAAGATCTATATCAAGAAAATAGCTATCATAATATTCTTTTGAAAAATCTCATCCAAATGAATATAACAGAAGAAGAAAGACTCATGTTAACTGATTGATATAGTTAAGACAAAAAAAAAAAAAGAAGATTTTCTATACTTCAGGTTGTGCATTACATAATCGTCGTTGTGATGATGTATATGAATATATTTTAA